ATGTTGATCAAGTGCAGCTGTGTCAAGTTGAACACCAACATACAGTTCAAGTGCACTTGATCAACATAACATAATAGTTCAAGCTGTGGATTATAAAGCACCCTATGATGAAATGGATAATAGGTAAGATTTTTCATTGGAAGACTATATTGAAGATGATGTGAATTTTTGAGATGGCCTGAAATAGAGATTGCAGCGTGATAGTAAAAACAAATTTGAAATAGAGCGCGCCGCCGAAGAAAAAAAAAGATAGATTGTTGTCCTAAAATTAATTGGAATTAAACTTAAAATAGAGAAGAAAATAGAAAATACATCGAAAGCATTGGAAGACTACATGGCAATTAATAAGAAGTAACACAGCAGTGGTGATAGATAAGAAGTTCTGTGCTGTGGGATGGAGAATGCAGCCATGATAGTAAAGACCAATTTGAAATAGAGTGACAGAAAAAAAGAAGGAACTTGCGGAAATATTCTCGGAGAAGTATGATGAGTAATAAGAAGTAACAAATAGTTTCACAAATTAGAAGTATACACATTCTATTTCATTTTCAATTTTTTTTTAAAACTTCACGATTCTATTGTTCTTACATACATATATAGTTTTGCTTTATCTCAATTGGAATAGTAGAGCAAGAAAATAAAAGGTGAGTCTTATTGAATTGAATGATAATAACGGAATTACAAACTATGTATTTATATACAATTAATTTGTCTACTAAGCAAAATAACAAACTAAGTAAAAAATTATAAATTCTAATTAACTTTGAGTTTGAGCTACATAACTCAACTTGAATTATATCTAATATCTCAGTAATGTACAGTATTTTAAAAATAGTCAAAAAAATTATTATTGTGAAGTGTTTTCAATCACGATAAAGGATTACACTATATATATATATATATATATATATATATATATATATATATATATATATATATATATATATATATATATATATATATATATATATATATATATATATATATATATATATAATATTGTAATTTACAAAGGGTTAAAATAAAAGGATAAATGAGTCCTTCCAAAAATTTAGATCTTATTAGATATATAACTTTTTGAATATTTAGATTTTTTAAATAATAATAATAAAATAAATGATTAGTTTTTAGTTTTCTCAAATATAATTCTATCCCATTTTTGTAAAATAAATAAATAATAAGAAGGTGACGCATACAAATAAAAAGAATTAAATGTGTTACTATATGGGGCAAGCTCACTTTTGAACACAAAGATAGGAGATTTTAACTTACTACTTCTCAATTATATTATATTTGGTACCTCGTATTTTTAAATTGGGTTGTTCCTAACTAAAAGTTGAATAAAATTTTTGTTTGAAATTTCAAGTGAAAAAACAAAATTTATTAAAAACAAAATTTCTGATAACATAGTCTAAATTTTTGGGACCAGGTAAAATTTTGAAATTTCTGACAAATTAATTATATATAAATACATAATTTGTAATTCCGTTATTATCATTCAATTCAATAAGACTCATCTTTTTGTCAACTTTAGGCATAGAGAAATTATAGACTTCTTCAATATTTTTTTTGGGATCAGTAGAACTACATTTATTAGCATACTTATTTCAATTGCTTTTATATATATATATATATATATATATATATATATATATATATATATATATATATATATATATATATATATATATATATATATATATATATATATATATATATATATATATATATATATATATATATATATATATATATATATATATATATATATATATATATATATATATATATATATATATATATATATATATATATATATATATATATATATATATATATATATATATATATATATATATATATAACTTAGCAGTATATGAATATTAAAACAGTTTAAAAACTGTGTCTTAGAAGAAGAAATCTATATAATGGGCAAGAAAACAAAGTTTGTAAGTTAGATAAGGATATGTATAGTTTAAACCAAAGTCAATGACATAAAAAGTTTTATAATTAATAATATTGTATGGGTAAAAAGTGAATGAAAATGACAAATAAATTTATTACAAATTTGAAAAAACAGCATTTGCATTATTATATGTCTCTATGTATACGACTTACTTATTCAGATCAAATATCTAGGATGTGAGTATTGTGAAATCATTGTTTTACAAAAACTTTGATAGGAGAGAATTTGGAATGGCTAGTGTGATTCTTGGAATTGAGATTATTAGATTTGAGAAAAAAAATATCTTTGGATCAATTTCACTATGTAGAGAAGATCTTAAAAAAAAGATATTTATTTTGACTGTAAACCTGTTTGCACACAATATGATCCTAGTGTTAAGTTATTTAAGAATATTGTTGACAGTGTTAGACAAAATGAGTATGAGAGAATCATTCGAATAATAGGTATACCACTCATTATATTAGACCTGACATTGCATATTTCGTAGGATTGTTATATAGGTTTACTAGTAGACTGTGTAATGAGCATTAGAAAGCTATTAAGCAATTCACGCAATACCTTAAAAGGACCTTGAATATCGATCTATATTATTAAAGATTTCCTTATGCACTTGAAGGATACATGGAAGAAAATTGAAACACCTTATTATTAGATTATTCCAAAGCAATTAGTGGTTATATGTTCAATATAGTTGGAGAGCTTGTATCTTGGAAAATAAAATAAGCAAAGTATTTTGGCTTAGTCCACGATGGAGTCTAAATTGATAGCATTAGATATTTCTAATGAATAATAAAGTTGGGTAAGATGCTTGCTAGTTGAGATCCATTTGTGGGAAAAATATATGCTAGTTGTGTTAATCCATTGTGATAGTACTGCAACTATTGTAAAATTTGAGAATTGTTATTATAATAGTAAGAGACGTCAAATAAGAAGAAATCACGACACTATTAGAGATTATATCTCTAAATGAGTTGTAGGAGTGAATCATGTATGCAATGATGAAAATTTAGCAGACTCTTTGACAAAAGAATTAGATAGAGAGAACGTCCACAATACATCCAAGAAGATAAAACTAATGCTTATAGAGAAGTGAGTTTTTCATGATGGTAACATGACATAAAAGACTTGAGATCCCAAGAAATAAATTCAATAGGTAATTAAAAGTTGTGATTAATATGAGATGATCATGCTAGTTTAAATAAGAGAAACATGAATTCTGAAGCGATAAGAATATGAGATTATAGAAACTCTTAATCAGATATATACTTTGTATGAGAGAGTACCTAGTTAAATGAGTACTTGTGATAGACTTACTTGTGTGATTGTGGAACTTAAGTTGGTTTTTATGAAATTTTAAGGCAGAAATCTTAGAGTGTTCACTAATCTATGATGGACATGTAAAGCCATTGAAACACATGTTTTACAATACACCTTAAGAAAATATTGTGGGTGAGTTTGATATCGTAGATAGAGTTCAAGACAATTATGTCACTCTTGTTGAATTAGAATCCTACGTGTTATGTAAGGGTTCAAATCGTAGACACATCTGTTTAAGCACAATTTTAGAAATGTTTAACATTACTTCTGAAACACTTTTTGAAGTTCAAGCGGGGATTGTTGTGACGTGACAATATTTCAATATGGAGATTAATTTAAAAATATTACTTAAGTCTCACATTGTTAAAAAAAAACTGTGTGTGTTTGTGTTAATTGAGAAAACTTTAAATTTCATGTTGATTAGATTACATATTTTATCTAACTTACTTCATTATATAAATAATGCACATGTTTCATTTTAAAACACACAAAAAATTTCTTTTGATTTTTTCCTTCACTCTCTTTACTCTGCATTTTTGAATTGTAGAAACGCCAACTTCTTTTCATTTCTTTCTACTCATTGAGTAATTCTCCTTTTTGAGAAATTATCAAGTAATATGTTTTGTTTCTTTTTTTGAAGAATTATTTGAATTTTCTCCTTGTTTAAAAAATTACTTTAACTGATCAAACGATCATTATTAAATTTTTTTAGAGAATTATTTAAATTTCCTCTTGTGTGAGAAGTTATTATTAGTGGTCTTTATACTAGATACTACAAGTAGTATTTATATTATATTCGACTGATATTTGTATCATCAAAGTGTGTATTTTTAGACCGATTATCTATTCTACAAGTAGTAATCGTATAATATAGAGCTATAATATTTTATCTTGGAGGCGTCATAATTGATCGTCTGTCTTACATAATTTTAAATATTATCATAAAACGTTTTAAAAAGAGTGACCTAATCCACAACTCGATGTTTTAGTTGCTTTAGTGACAATTTTTTCAAATAAGGAGAAAGAGACACTTACCTATCATACAAATAAATCTTTGGCTGGCCTATTAGTTACTTTATGCTATTACATATTTGATATTTAAAGAACAAAAATAAACTTTGAAACTATTGGTTTCAAGTGCGTTGGAGCACTTAGTTGTTTTCTTAATGAAATAAACTATGGCTGATGAGTATAAGTTTTGGCTGTATACAAAATGTGGGAGACAACATTCTTGTTCCATCCTTGCTGCCCTGAAACCCTACAACATTAATTCCTTTAGTCAAACCACTTGATTTTCCAATAAATGACACCAATGATGTCATCACCAATATCAATTCATATTGCATGGTAAAGAAGTTTTGATTCTAGGCTGTGTTGTCACAATCTTGATAGTTAGATTTTTTATTTTAAAAAATCAAAATTTCGACCATTCTATTTTGATTTAACGATTTAAATGTGACTAACTGCATATAAATACATAAATTAAATCTATAATTGTTAAACGATTAGATGTGTCTAACTACACGCAGATATACAAATTAAATCTATAAATTTCTATGTTGAGAATCAATATCCTCATGTTTAAATAAATTATCTAGAGTATAGAATAATTGAACAATATTTATGAAAATTTCTATAGCTTCATTTAACTATTAGTGTGGTTAGTAGAAAGTGATATTCTATAATTCAGTTCTAAAATCCATTCATACCCTCTGAATTAATTGAGGCAGTTTGTTTCATGACTTTTATATGCCTTGCCTGCATGGTATATGAAAATACAGTATTAGTTAACATTAAGTTATGTAAATTGGAAAGTAAATAGTTTTGCAATAAAGTAATCACATTGTTTATAGCATGGTTGATTTAGTGATGGATCATCAGTTGATGATGGAGGATCCTGCCCAAATATCATCTCACAACTCATGTCATCAAAATCTGCACAGAAAAAGATAAATAAAATAATCAATTTCATTGTATACTTTAGTTGTTGAGATTTATTTAATTATAGGAATTTCTGTTATTTACTTTTCATCATTAGGAGTCATATACAATTTAGCAATAATATTCACATAAACACAAGTGCTCATAATGTTGACACATTCATCATGATACAGTTTGAATGCTTTTGATATACACCAATAGGTCCATAATAGATATCATCCATAAAACTAAAACAAATTTGGTTTAGATATTTGTTCTGGTTCTTCTGCCGGACAAATCCATCGTAAAAGGCCAAAGAGCAAACTTTAAATAGAAAGACACACAAAATAGATAGATTTTCACTCTGATCAGAAGCAACGATTTCGGTCTCTAAAACATCAATCACCGTCCAATTCAATCAGACAGTTTATATATTGTTTATGTTAATGAGAGATGTTATTATGAAATCAAAACCATATATGAGAGGTATCATTGTATGGTCTACTTGCAACTTTGCACCCTCAGTGGTATATTCATGGGGTCCTCCATTGAAATGATGGTGCTTTCCTCCACAAACTAGTGGAGACTTATAGAGGCCATGATACTCTTTCAAGTTATTAACTAACATTCTTCCTGTTGTTTATTTTTTGTGGACATACTAAAAATAGATAAATTTAGATAGTTTCTTTAGCACCATTAGTTTATCTTTTTTGTTAAAGTTTAATTTTGGATTTGAAACATACACGTACACATGACTTTTTCTTCTTTTCTTCTTATAGAAGTCCATGTTGTTCATGCTATAAAAATTGAATAAATCATCTCAAATTGGATGAACATAACAATATCACAGATATGTTTTTGAGTATAATTGGAAGTAACTTTTTGGGATACTTACTTGGTATCATGTTCACCGGCATACCGAGAGTGTTCTTTATAAAAGATTGAGTTGGAATTTTGCAAAGATTAATACACATCCCTGCACAATTTGTCTTCTCTAAAAACCTGCACATATTAATATGCATATTAATATTCAGGTCATAGATGATTTAATGCGAGACTCTTAACGCATCTACTCACATCTAGAATTTGCATATGTGGCGTGAAACTAAATTATGAGTTAGGTGGATGAATTGTACATTTTAATAAAGATATATACTATATATAAATGAATTAATAGATAAATAAACTAACCTGCATTTTTTGACATAGACTGCATTTTTTTCTCTCCTTCCATTGATCTCTGATTCTCTAACCTTCTCATGGTAAAATTAAAGAGATGAATCCTTTTAAAGCAAACTATTAGCACATGACATGTTATAAATTGATTTCATATTACAACCACTTTGATTCCATGCAAGTGGACACCATTTGGTCACTATACTCACCACTTATAACCATTAAACTTATAGTAAATTTCAGTTTCATAATTAATAGTGGAAAGTATAGTTTTTTTTTAATCTTAGTATTCAGTTTTGTGGTAACTAATTCAAGAAGACTAATCTCACATTCTATTAGCGAGAGTCCTGTTTAAGCAAAACTTTGTATAAACAGACCCAACACAGAAAGTATATTTATTTAGCAACATAAATAACATTCAAATGGATTTATCAAATCATAAACAATACAAAAATATACAGCTGCATCATGTAACAGTCTCAATTGTTTACCTCAGATGGCCCAAGTAACCAAGTAAAAAACAAAGTGGTGAAAATGGCGAAGTGTTCCCTTGTGAATTTACATGGTGGTAGCAGTTTCCTTATCTGCAATTTTTCATAGTAGAAATACAAAAGAAGTTGAAAATGGCCTAAAATATTTATGAAAGAAATAACAAAAAAAAATGGTAGAAACTGTGAATAATGAAATTACCAATAAAAATACAGACTCTGGAAAGAGTCTATTCAGAGCTTGAATGATAACCTCTTGCTGCTCAATAGAACTAAATTTCTGTTTCGCCATAATAGCCGCCTCAACAAGACTCTCATAGCCACTTTCATCGTTTCTAATTCCTGACACAATTACAAAAACTATAAACTATTAGATAACTTATCAACTATCAGTTATCAGCTATTTTTATCAAACAGAGTCTTGCAACAAAGATACAGAAGAGTATATAAGAATGAACCTGTGGCAGCTTGAACACTTTTTGATAAATGGTTTATTGCTACGAGATCGAACCAACTATCTTTGTAAACAATACTGGTAATATTTTTCGTTGTTTCTTCATTAATGTCGCGATTTGAAGTGTTTCTGAGTACTGAAACTATGGAAGGTGGATATTGAGGTTTATGTTTGAAGAGATTGTAGTTTGTTGAAGAAGTTAGTTTTGAAATTCTGTTTTGCCTAAAAGCATTTGCTTCCATTTGTGAATGTTAGTTTGAGAGGGTAATAGGGAATGGAAATTGGTTTGAAATGTTGATAAGGAAAGAAGGAGTGAGAGAGGGATATAAGAAACAAGAAAGGTATGAATAGCATATTCACACAAACTTCATGCTCCAGATTCTGCTCTTTGCGTTTGGTTGGATAAAATTTTTGTCTTTTTTATTTTATTTTTAATAAATGGTTTGGATAATAGGTTCACTATTGACCTTGCTTAATTACGGTTCAAATATGCAGTACTAGAATATAAATATATTTTAAATTAAATCAATTAATTGGGAAAACTATGCATATTAAAAAGAAAATACCTTAAATTATTGAAAAATATATTATTAATTTTAAAGATTTTTATTTTAAAAGGATAAGTGAGGAATGTGATGTTTTATTAAAAAAAATTATTATTTTGAGTTTTTTAATACAATTTTATTTTGAGGTTTTAATTGAGCTAAATGAATGCCACATGTTTTATCTCTAATAACAACAATTTTTGGTATTTTTCAAAATGGGGAGGATTGCTCTTTCCGCCTCTATTGGTGAAGAGTGGCCCTTAAAAATTCGACAATTTGTTTGAAAAAAAATCGAAGTTAACTTTCGCCTCCATATACACCAAAATACTTTTTAAGTGAGTCACTTCTATTTTGTTAAAAAATAATACAGAAGTTAACATCTGTATCAATGGTGGTGAATTTATAGGTTAAGTTATGAACTAACCTCTAAACACATTTAGAACTCATGATAGTGTGTTTATATTCCTCACTATTTGTGAATAATACGAAAGTTAACTTCCAAATTTATCAAGCACGAAAATGAATATAACACCACCTTGCATATACTCTTCATTTCATGATCATACCACCATACTTCTACAAAAAAATCCATTCCATTCTCAATCCAGTTTTGTACTTCAAAACCACATTCTTATGTTTTTATGACATCAAAAGGAGCAAAAGAAAGGTAGAATTTAAGGTAATGTACATGTATTTTTTTCCTCATTGCTTGTAATAATTTGGTTGAGCTGTTTAAAAATGAACGTTATGTCCTGAAGTTAACCCTCGTATTATGTTTCATGTTGTTCTGGAAGTTTAATTCCGAAATGTTTTCATGTTGAATTTAAATTTGACTATGTTATTACTGGTTGCAGCAATGGTTCAACATTGTAATCGGGAGGTCAGATTCTGGTTTTGATATAAAACAGACATTTGTTACAATGAGATGTGAAAGAATTGTCAAGTACAGAAAATCTATCCCCAAGTTGAAATGGAATGACACTTGTTTAAGGATATGTGAATGTCCTTTTAAGTTGTGCGGGTACCTTAAAGCGAATAATACTTGGACATTTAATGTGATTTGTAATATACATGATTATGATTTGTGTTGCAAGTTACCTGGTCATCTCATTGTATGTCGCTTTAATTCTATAGAGAAGGATCTTGTTTCTGACATTACATTGAATGTGGTGCAAATCAAAAAAAAATTGCAATTTGGAAATGAAAATGACCTCATAATGTCTCAAATATTAAGCAGGTATATAATGTTCGAGCCTGAAACAACAATGAGATAAGAGATCCAAGATCTGAAATGCAACAATTGTTGAAACTCTTGGATGATCATCATTATGTATTTATGTATAGAATGTGCGAGGATGAAGAAATCATTAAGATATATTTTGGACTCATCCTGATTTCGTCAAGGTGTTCAACATATTTCCCACAATGCTCATAATTGATTCAACATATAAGACCAACAAGTACATGCTTCTATTTTTGGAAATTGTTGGTGTTACTTCTACAGAGATGACTTTTTCAGTTGGGTTTGCATTTTCGAAAAGTGAAAAAGAATAAAATGTTACTTGGCCTTTAGAAATGTGTCAGATTATGTTGAAGGACAAAGAAAACATGCCACAAGTAATTGACACTGATCGTGATATCACACTGATGAATTTGATTTCAAAGGTGTTTTCTACATCATATGTATTACTTTTTAGATCATATAACAAAAATGTGAGAATTAGATTTAAACATGAGGTAAGAACCAAACAAATCAAGAGTGGATATGAAAAAATGTTCAAAGCTGGTGTGATATTGGAAAGCATAATGGATGTCTGGAATGTTATCATAAATTATTCTACAGAAGAGTTATATGTCGAATTTGTAATATATTTCAGGAGAGTGTGTGAGAAATATATGGATTTCTTGAAATATGTTGAAAATGAAATTATATGTCAGATGAGGGAGAAGATTGTTTGGCTTGGGCAGATCAGATCAAACACTTTAGAAAAATAACAACTTATAGTGTTGAGTCTGTTAGAATAAGATTTGTTCATGACATATTTTTCTTGAGTTTTGATGATAACAAAGTATTGAAAGAACAATTGTTTATTTGATGTGTGTTACATGTCTGCAGGTTCTTATACTTATAAATACTATTGTCAGAATTTGTTCTACATTAAGCACAATTTGAGAGTTGCTGCATTGCTAACTTCTAGTGGAAAAATCTGAAGAACACTTTCTAAGTGATGTATGGCGAAGACTCTGAAGTTGAAGGCCTCAGCATCATAAGAAGCAACATTATTATTTCTACACTTAGTGAATGATAATTGACTTCTGGTACCATTCAGAGTTGGTGATAAAGTTGAAGTTGTTTGTACTGCAGAAAGCAAATTATATTGTCAAATCAATTTGCCAACTAGAGACTATAGATTGTAAGGCTCAAGAAAAGTTGAGATGCTTTATAGATATCTATTCTCAACGGCTCTAATAGTACAGAATCTCTTGAAGACTCAAATGTCAAATGTAACACCCCACTTCCCAAATTAAATAAAATATAAACATTATAAATAAACATCAGAGTTTTCCCCAAAATAGTGGGATATCACATCACCAAATTTTTATAAAAATACTTTATTAATTATTCTCAAAAATAATACAGCGGAAAACATTATTCCAACATTCTCGGCCATCCGCCAAATTTCGTAAAATCTTTATTATTATAATTTACAAAAAAAAAGTGATACGTCACAGGATTACAACAAGTTTGACATAAAACAATTAAAACACCCATATCCCGTGTTACGTATCAGAGCATCCTAGACTCGACTGGCACACCACCATCCAAGCTATCTAAGTACCTGGATTATCTGTACTTCCGGAGAAGCACAGACACAACAACAACCAAGGGGTGAGAAAACATGATCAAAAATATATTGGTAATGTAATACATGTAAACAAGGTAGTAAAACACACCAACACACCAATATTCACCCCAACAACTCCATATAACGAACCTACTGTTCAAATTACAATATAACATATTATAATGCAAATATGCAACTCAACACCATGCATGCGGTACCGACTCATTGGTTCATTCAATCGAACCTGGATAGATCACTTACGCTCCTCCTGAGACATGATCTATCCCCCACCATTCTCCACCAAGGAGTACGGATGAATCACTTACGCTCCTCCTGAGACATGATTCATCCCACCAAAACACCATGATATGCACACACCAATGCATAACTATCATATTTAGGCACACTAAGTGCACACGATCCTCCTGATCATATCATCATACATCAATGCATATATGTGTAGATATATTACACCAACACCATATAAATCAATCAGATAGTAAATAAATTCATACTATAACACCATATATAACCACATCCCAACACCCGGGAACACACGATCCTACTGATCACTACATACATATACGTTAACCAATTGTTCACCAACAATATCAAGGAAAACGAGTACCATCACCAAGTAAACAAGTTCATACTTTATCACCAAGATATAAACACGTCCCACCACTCGGGAATACACGATCCTACTGATCACTACACCATGCTCCGCATGATTCATACACCAACTAATTATCCATTTAAATAATTAGTAACGGAAATCACATACTATCACCGAGTACTCACTCTATAACACTCAATCATCTCCCCTATAATCAACAAAGTCCAAGGGCACTACACTCTTAGCGCACACAGTATAACAGCATAGAAAAACCCCATTCTGCTACCCTCGCTAGGCGAGCTCCCAGCGAATGCTCGCTACCTGTTCGCTTAGCGAACCTCCTCGCGAAGGCAAACAGAACCTACTAGACTCACTCGCTAGGCGAGCACCTAGCGAACGCTCGCTGCCTTCTCGCTAAGCGAAGTGCTAGCGAGTTGCCTGCGACTTCTCAAGTTCTCACAGTTCAGAATTCTCACTCTTCTCTGATTCAAGCCTATTCTATAACATCCACTTCCTATACTATCCGTATTACGACCAATGCATATTAGGCTTATCAATCTTCCTATAATTCTACTCCAGATCAACATTACGGCACACTACCGACACTTTAGAGTTACTCTGAACCTTACTCAAACCAAACCAACACCAACAGTCAATCAACAATGGCAACATCAAACATCCGTACATCATCATATACATATTATTCCAAAGTCATCACTTAAACAATCTATCGACACATCAAAAAGGTCACACAGAACTTCCCTAAAACCGTAAACCCAACCTATACGCCAAATTAACCAAAAACAACAATTCACCAACACTCAACATATTTCAATCCATCAACATCAACATAACTCAACAATCAATAGCATGTCAATATAAAACTTCATCAACGATACATTCCTACGGGGTTAAGGAATCCCCACTACCCTATACATGTATATACCATTCCCAATCAAGTTTCTCCCCCCTTACCTTGTTAATCGGTTGATCGATGAAATTCTTCCTGGATTTGGTCTCTTGGCCTCCTCTTTTCTTTCCGTTCTTCGTTCCCTTTTTCCTTCGTTCTTCTCACTTCTCTCGTTCTTTCCTCTTCTCTCTTTCTATCGCTCTTTCTCTCTTCCATCTTTCTATCGTGTTATTTTCTCTAATACTTCCCCCATCCCTTCATATTCTATTTTCCTTTTTATTTCCTATCCCAATAATAATAATAACTAATAAAAATAATATAATAA